ATCTGTTCCAGATAGCAAATTATAGTTGGTATGCTCTGTTATATATATGTTTAGCTTTGTGAAATGAGATGGATTGAGAAATCTATGCTGGATAGCAAATTATAGCTGGATACTCTATCGTATATAAGTTTAGCTTTGTGAGAGCACTTCTAAGGGCACATGTTTGCCAGGCTTCCAAATGTCACAATAAAACCAAGGCCCAGACTGGGTGTGGTGGCTCATGCCTATAATCCCAGCACTTTGGGAGGCCGAGATGGGCAGATCACCTGAGGCCAGGAGTTTGAGACCAGCTTGGCCAATATGGAAAGTTATAGAATATAGTCTCAAACCCTTTTGGAAGACCTAAAAGTTTTTTCTGTAGTTCTTAGCTGAAGGCAGCCTAAATCCCCTTTACATTTAGTTAATAAGTAAAGCAAATAGCTAAGGTATATGGAAGCATTTACCTAACTAACTTGTTTACTCATGTGGTCTTAAAACTAAACTTTCAGCCAGATAGCCCTCCCAGGAGGAGATCAACCAAGGAGATTACCTTCTAATAGTGTTTGCTTTGGGCATCATAACCTGTCCTTTAATCTCTTCTCTCTAGTGGTGTTGACTCAAGCTTTTGTCAATTAAACTTTACTAAATAAATGCAAGTCTCACTAGCTGGTAGGGGCCAGCAGTTGCAACTGTTTACAGCACTCTCCAAGGAGTCTGTAAGCATCAACAGACCCTCAGCCAAACTGGCAAAGCATAATATCTGTGTGGCAGTGTACTTTATTCATCTGTTGCGAAGTCAAGGTCTACAAGACATATCCCTACGAGCAGTGACCCTGACATCTGGGCTTACCTCTTCCTCCTGGCTGACTTGCCAAAATATGTTAACTGTGGAGGGTGTCCGGGTTCTTGGCATTTTGAACAAAGAATTGGTCAAAATGCACAACAAACAAGAAAGGAATGAAGAGTTTTACTGAAAATGAAAGTATTCTCCACAATGTGGGACTGGGCCTGAGCCTAAGGGCTCAAAGGCCGCATTACAGAATTTTTGGGAGTTTAACTGTCCTCTGGGGGATTCCATTGGTTACTTGGAGTACGCCGTATGTAAATGGAGAGGATGAAGAAAAGTTACAGTAATTTACTTGGCCTACACCCTGTGGTGAGGATATTTTCTATCATAGCTGAAGTGTGAATTGGCCTTATGTTTCCTGACTTCAGAGATTTTTTTTCTGCCTCACTGGTCTCAAGTGATCCACCTGCCTTGAGTTCCCAAAGTGTTGGGATTACTGGTGTGAGCTGCTTTGCCTGGCCACTTTTTTTTTTTTTTTTT